TGAAGTTTCCTCTTAGTACCACTTTTGCCATGTCCCAGAGGTTTTAATCAGTTGTGTCACTAATATTGTTAAGTTCGAAGACTTTTTAAATTTCTATCTTGATTTCATTGTTGACCCAATAATCATTCAGGAGCAGGTTATTTAATTTCCATGTATTTCCATGGTTTTGAGGATTTCTTTTGGAGTAGATTTCCAATTTTATTCCACTGTGATCTGAGAAAGTACTTGATATAATTTTGTAAACTTACTGAGGCTTGTTTTGTTGCCTTTCTTGGAGAATGTTCCATATACTGATGAATAGAATGTATATTCTTCAGTTGTTGGGTAGAATGTTCTGTAAATATCTGTTAAGTCCATTTGTCCTAGGGTATAGTTTAAGTCCATTATTTGTTGACCTTCTGTCTTTATGACCTGTCTATTGCCATCATGGGGTATTGAAGTCCCCCACTATTATTGTGTTGCTATCTTTCTCATTTCTTAGGTATATTAGTAATTTTTTTATAAATTTGAGAGCTCCAGTATTAGGTGTATATATATTTAGGATTGTGAAATTGTCTTGTTGGAGTAGTCCTTTTATCATTATATAGTGTCCCTCTGTCTTTTTAAACTATTTTTGCTTTAAATCTGTTTTATCTGATATAAAAATAGCTATTCCTGCTTGCTTTTGGTGTCCATTTCCTTGGAATATGTTTCTCCACCCCTTTACTTTAAATTTATGTGAGTCCTTATGTATTAGGTGAGTCTCTTGAAGACAGCAGATACTTGGTTGGTGAATTCTTATCCATTCTGCTACTCCAGATCTTTTAAGTGGAGCATTTAGACCATTTACATTCAATTTTAGTTTTGAGATGTGAGGTACTGTTCTATTTATCGTGCTAGTTGTTGCCCAAATACCTTGCTTTTTCTTTTCCCATTGCACTATTATTTTATAGGTCTTGTGAGATTTATGCTTTAAGGAGGTTCTATTTTGGTGTCTTTCAGGGATTTGTTTCAAGATTTAGAGCTCCTTTCAGCAGTTCTTATAGTGCTGTCCCCCACCCCTAAACAGCACTGAATTTATTTCCAGGCAATCTGTGAGCAGGGCTGAAAACTTGCCCCAGACTACAAGCCTCCCCTCTGAGAAAGCAAGCAGAGCACTTGGGTTTCACACCTCCCAACTTGCTGCAGCCTCTGTGCTTGTATCTGCACTTCCTGTTTACCCCCCAGCCCCAGGTTCTGTCCAGGAAAATTTGTATTCCATTGAAATTGTTACAAAGTTAAGCTGGAAGTTTCCTTTTCCATGTGGTCTTTCCCCAGTTCCACTCAAAGCCCTCCCCAAGGACCCCTGTGAGACAAAGTCAGAAATGACTTTTCTGGAGACCAAAAGTGCACCTAGTGCTCATCCCACTGCTTCCTCTACCCCTATATTTCACTTGGCTCTCTAAATTTGTCTCAATTCCAGATCCTTCTCCCATGATCTGGACCTTCAGTTTCCCCAGTGATGATGCATGTTAAGGGGTGGATGTTTCCCCTTTCACACTTTGGACATTCACAGTTTTTCAGCTTGCCTGAGGTGGCAAGCTACTTCTTTCAAGCTGTCTGTGAATTCTCTTGGCTTTCCTGGTGTGTTCCTGTGGCAGTTCTTAGAGCAAAAGTTCATGGTGTGAGTCTCCACATGCTGCTGTGTCTGTCCGAGAGGGAGCTGCAAGTTAGTTCTGCCTCTTGTCTGCCATTTTTTTTTTCTCTCCAGGCAATGGAACAATATTTTTTGTGTGCTTAATAAAATAACTCCAATCCCTGAATTCTACACTTACAGGAAATATTCGTCAAAATAAAGATAAAATTAAGGTGTTTTCAGACATGAAATCTGAGGTTATTCACTGCTATCAAGTCTGCAGTTAAAGAAATACATACTTTAAGTAGATAGAAAAAAATCAAAAATTTGGAAACATGAAACTGTAGGAAGGAATGAATCACAATAGAAAAGGTTATGTGTGATTACATATAAGGGAATACACATTGTGTCAAAAAATAATTGTAACATATAATAAAATTTGAAATAATATGTAGAACTGAAATGTATGAAAATTATAATGTAAGAGTTCAGAAGGTTAATACACTTAAATGTTTTACAATTTTGGAAGTATTAAGAAACATAAAATTATAGCTATATTTTATCATCTCTGGGGTAACAGCTAAAAGACTAGTAAAATAGTGTGCACGTACATGTTAACAAAAGGAAAAACTCGTAAAAACAAGAAGGGAAGAGAAAAAATATGTAACGAGTGATTCAAATTCAGACAGAAAACAAATGGCAAGGTAGAAAATAGCTATATCAATAGTTATATTAATGTAAACATACTAAATACACTAAGTAAAATACAAAGATTTTCAGGCTACATCTTAAAATATGGAGAACTATAGTCATCTGTCACATAATGACATTTTGATCCACGACAGAGTGCATACATGATGGTCGCATAAATATAATATTATATTTTTACTGTACCTTTCCTTCATTCACATATGTTTGGATACACAAAATACTTACCACTGTGTTACAGTTGCCTATAGTGTTCAATTCAGTAACATGCTGTACAGGTTTGTAGCCTAGGACCAATAGGCTATACCATAAAGCCTAGGTAATGTGATCTAGATTTGTTTAAGTATGCTTTGTGATGTTTGCACAATGACAATATCACCTAATGCCACGTTTCTTAGAATATATCACTGCCATTAAGTGATATCAGACTATATATGGTGTTTATACGAATCACACTTTAGGTATAAAAACTGAGAAAGCTTGAAAGTAAGGTGATTAAAAATATATGTCAGATAAACAAGAAGAATCAGAAATATCTCAATTGTGTGAAAAGTTAAAAAATTAATTTATAAATATACACCAAGGTTAAAAAAAGACATACAATGGAAATTTAAAAATATTTTTCATTAAATAAAAATAAACCATAACAATGCTTATAAGTTGGAATTTATTCAGTGCTTAGAGGGGAATTTACAGCCTTAAAATCATAAATTAGAAAAAAATACAAGCTGAAAAATCAATGATTTAAACTTTAGCTTAAGAAAATAACAAAATGAACAAGAAAATCTAACCTATAGTAAGTAGAAGGAAAGAAATAATAAAACAAGAATAGATGTGAAGTAAATTAACAACAATTGTATGAACAGGAAATCAACAAAGCCTCTAAGTTGGTTCTTTGTAAAGAATAGTAAAATTGATTGTCTAGCAAAACTCATTAAGGGAGTAAAAGCACAAATATCAGAAAAGAAAATAGGACAGTACTACAGGCTCTATTTTAGACGTTGAAAAGAGCAAAGGAAGATTTTATGAATGACTTTATAGCAATATATTTGACTATTTAGGTAAAATGGGCAAATTCCTAGGAAATACAACTTTCCAAAACTGAGTAAGGAAGATATAACTAATCTGGTACTGATACCTAGTAAAGAAATTTAATCTATTGTTTAAAAAAAACATCCCACCAACAAAGCCCAAGGCTCAGATGGCTTCACTGGTGAATTCTTCCAAACTTTGTAAGGATAACATCACTATATATGTATATTAAAACACAAGTTTGTATACTTTAAATATGCATGATTTTTATTGTAAAAAGAATAACACCAACGTTTTACAAATTTTATTTTAGTCTGTTTGGACTGCTGTAATGTAGCAATGATTGGTTGGTTAATAAACAACAGAAATTTACTTGTCACCCTTTGGGAGGCTGAGAAGAGATCAGTCTTTCTGGCTATTTTTTTGGTACCCATTAAACATTCACTTCTCCGTCCCCCAGCTACCCTTCCTAGCCTCTGATAATCATCCTTCTACTCTATCTGCATAAGTTCAATTGCTTTAACTTTTAGTTCCTACAAAGTAGTGAGAATATGTGAAGTGTGTCTTTTTGTGCCTGGCTGATTTCACTTAACATAATGACCTCCAATTTTTTTCATGTTGTTGAAAATGACAGGATCTCATTCTTGTTTATGGCTGAATAACTAAAAGAATATAATTGTATTGTTTATAACACAAAGGATAAATGCTTGAGGTGATGGATACCCCATTTACCCTGATGTGATTATTATGCATTACATGCCTGCATCAAAATATCTCATGTAATCCATGCATATACACACCTACTATGTACCCACAAAAATAAAAAATTAATAATTAAAAGGAAGTTCTAAATCAAGGTGTCTGGTGGGGGCTGCCCACCATCATAATGATGGTTGTCTTTATGCTGTGTTCTCACATGGTGGAAGGGGCAAGGGGGGCTCTCTGGGGTCTTTTTTTATGGGCACTAATTCCAGTTATGAAGACACCCTCATGACCTAATCATCTCCAAAGGCTCTGCATCCTAATCCCATCACATTAAGTGTTAAAATTTTAACATATAAAGTTTGAGAAAATATAAAACATTCAGTCCACTACACTCTTCTGGATAATACAGAAAGAGGGAATATTTACTCTTTCTAAGGGCAAAAGTTAACTTTAATACCAAAACCTAACTAGGACATAATAAAAAGGAAAATTAGAGATACTTCTTTTTCATGGATATAAGTGAAAAAATAATTAACTAAATATTAGCAAAATGAATCCAGTGAGGTTTAAAAAACCCTCAAAACAAAATGAGATTTACTCTAGACATGCAAATGTACTTTGTCTCATTGCTTGCTATTCAAATGTGTCACTAGAGTCTTTGAAATTTTCACAAGTCTAATGTTATTTGAGGGCATGCTTCTATTTAAAAGTGGTTTTGATTCAGTATGTCAAAATACATTTTTAAGGGTAATGAGTAAGGTATTTGTTTTCATAATTGCAAATAGAAACAAAAGATGAAGTTACCTGAACTTCACCAGTGAAAAAATAAAACTGACATTATTGCATAAATATTAGTAGATAACTATAGAATTATATTGCAATGTTCTTTACCTTTCTTCTTCCAACGATTCAGTTTTGAAGGAAGGTAAATAGATCTCTCTGAAAATTATTCGGCTTCTAGGTGTTCCTTGATGAGCTCCCTGAGGATTTCAGTGATGCTTTAGATGAGTATAACACGAAAATTATGGAGGACTTTACCACTTTCCTACGAATTGTTTCCAAACTGGCTGATATGAATCAGGAATATCAACTCCCATTGTCAAAAATCAGTAAGTATATTTTACCTCCACTGTGGAACAATTTGAAGAATAAATAATCTTGCCTAAGAATAGTTTATTCTGGAAGAAGAGTGGAACCTCAGAAAGGTTATTCTGCCCTCAAGTGAGGAGATTCCTTTTCCTTTCTAAAGAAAAAAATTGTGCTTATTAGACATTAAAAGGGCAAAAGAGACTGAAATTAAGTAGAGCCATTTATAACCATCTTGTTAAATGCTGCTTCAGGGTCAAGCCTGGAAAACAGAGTAAGGGCATCTATGAGATGAAGAGAAACTAGGGACTAATTCTGTCACTCTGTCTTGAGAGGAAATATGCTTAGTGTTCATAAACACAGATTCTAAGCATATTTCCTTGGTCCAAACTCTGGCTCTGCTACTTATTAGCTGTGATTTCTTGAGCGAGAGACTCCATACTCATGCCTTAGTTTTCTGAATAGATATATGAGAAAGGGAATAGCATTATATACCTAGTTTTGATGAGTTTTAAATGATTAAATTAACATATATGAAGATCTTAATGTTTTGTACATGATTAACACTTTTAGCATTTGTTCTTTTTTTCATGAGCTAATAGATGGAAGCCTTCTAAGGAAAAATAGACACAAAAAGGTGACCGTCACAGGTGGGGTGAGACTGGAGTCTATGAATATTATGCCTCAATTACAAATTAGACCAGTTTGAATGTCTGATCTGGGTTTTATAAGAATATCAATGGAAAATATATTTATTCTCATGCACTACTTCCAGACTTACTAATTGTGGTGCATGGTTTCAGGAAAGATTCTGAAGGCAAGTCTGAGTTCAGTAAGAAAAAGTAAAAAGGTTTGGGAGGCTGAGGCAGGAGGATCACGAGGTCAGGAGATCGAGACCATCCTAACTAACACCATGAAACCCCATCTCTACTAAAAATGCAAAAAAATTAGCCGGGTGAGGTGGCGGGTGCCTGTAGTCCCAGCTACTCGGGAGGCTGAGGCAAGAGAATGGCCTGAACCCGGGAGGTGGAGCTTGCAGTGAGCCGAGATCGCAACACTGCACTCCAGCCTGGGTGACAGAGTGAGACTCCATCAAAAAAATAAATAAAGAAAAAATAAAAGAAAGAAAAAGTACAAAGGTAATAATAATTGTCCGATAAGAGTATACAATTTAAATTTAGTCTTTCATTTCTTATTAAGGCAACTAAAATATAATACACATTTTTATAATAGTGATACTAACGTTAGTAGCCAACTTTCACTGGATGTATTCTGTGCCAAGCTGTGCTGCTCACCTTATGTGATCTAACTTACAAAACATTTCAGTCTTCATTACATGAAGCTGAATGGCTCCCCTTGTAACATGGTCTAGAGAAAGTATCTGAGGTTTGACAACTTGCCTGAGTTCAAAACACTAATCTATCCCTAAGTATTATTGTCAGAATTCACAGGTAAAGAATGTGAAGACTCTCAACTCGTATCTCATTTGATGAGCTGCAAGGAAGGAAGAGTAGCAATTTCACCATTTGTTTGTCTGTCTGGGAACTTTGATGATGATTTGCTTCGACTGGAAACTCCAAACCATGTAAGTGAAGAGTGAGGTGTATTAATAAAAGGTGTTTAAGAAAGAATGGATTTATATTGCTAGGCAGCTTAGAAAGAACTTCAAATTTCCCAGATTAAAAAGGAAAAAAAAAATCTGGATGTATCAACAGATATATTCAGGAATTGGTGCTCTTGAAGTCAATATGATTTCAGTTTCTCAGAGTTGGCCTGAGGACCCTGCTCAGAGTTTCTAAGCACCACTACTTTTCTTCCATCTTTGAAGACTCTACTGATACGGACACAGGTTTGCTGTGGAAGAACCACATAAAACTATCTTCAGGCTTTCCCAGTACTGCTGTAAGTGCTGTAAATACTACTTATAGTCTGCATCATTGATGCCTAAAACGGAATGCAAAGAACTAGACACATTTGGAAGATCCTGGCTAATTCATATGAATGTTGACACTTGGTGAAATTTAATTATTTTAATACAAACTTTGAGAAAACATATTTTATTACATTTGATATTATGGATTGACATTGGTGTCTCAACTCCAATACGTACATGTATTGGATTTTATTCCAAAATCATAGTCATGTATCACTTAAAATAATTTTGAAGACTGTATACATCTTGTGCATTTTAAATTAACACATACATTTTTATCCTAAATTTAAATACTTTCTGCAGATATAGTTTTTAGTTTCAAATAAATGTTGGTGTGTTAAAACCAATGCATCATTCTTTTAATTGTATAAAATGTAATACCAACAAGAAAGTGTTTTCATACCCATAGTCAGTAAGTTAAGAACAAGTCAGGAAAACTTTTTATAAGGATTTATAGATTTGCAGTTCTTTTTCTCTTGAACTCACATTTTCTTTCCATATTCCCTCACATTTACCTTACCCAACTCACTTTATACAAATGTACTTTACTAGAGTAAGTTATAACCTCTTAAACTTGTTTTGCTTTTATTGTTTATTTTAATTAACAAAATTAATTTTACATTTTAATATAATGCTAAGTATACATGCAAATATATCTTTTATAGCACATAGATAAGTTCTAAAGCATTGAACTTATCTATAGCATATAGATAAGTTCTAAAGCATTATTTTATAGCATATAGATAAGTTCTAAAGCATTATTTTATAGCACATAGAT